GGTCAAATCTGAACTTCTCTAATTTGGAAATGGCGATATCTTATTGGTCTGCAGGAAATTGTTCTGAGATTAGCTACTAATAATTTGACATGTTAGTAGTAATATATATAGGTGTATGATTGCAGCTGTTTTCTTGAATGTTTTGACACGAACATATTTTTTGGGCGAGAGGAAGGATTTGGTAATATACAGGGTATGGCTTCCCGATTTACCCCAGCCAGGGGCTAATAATATACTGGCTCGACAACTGAGGGGTAAAGGTTAGTTTTTCATAGGAGGAAAACTGGGGATCTCTCGAAACACAGGAAAGACAAACTCTACTTACAGGCATGAGTTTTCAAGCGCAGGGAAGTTACTTAATTAATTTAATCCAAGCAAATCTTCTACCAAATGTACTTTATTTCATTGGGTGAGTAGATTGCTTCGTGCGAAGCGATGGGTTCTGCATTTTCGTGGGAAATTTTTCGCTGACCAATGTTTTTCGTTTCGCACGAACAAATTTGCCTAGTGAGTAGTGGAAAACCGACTTATGGCTATTTTCGACTTCAACCATAACATTTTATTTTGTGCCCAAAGTTCCACTCTAGTGCTCAGGAAACTACATGCCATGCAAACAATTTAACATAAACTACAGTATATGTAACATTTACATACATTACATGGACCTATAATATATGGATCTATAATATATGCACCTATAATATCAGTATGGACCTATAATATATGGACCATTTATAAACCTTTACAGGTAAACTACGTGAAGCGTTCCTCTTTTGACTTCGTAACTCATTTGGAATTTTCCTCATTAGCTTTGCAAATTTGAAAAACTCTTTGCAAATCCCTTGCGGGAATTTGCAATGTTCCTATCAGCTGTTGCAATATTCCAAACTTCATTTTAAATTTTCCTAACTTCCTGTTTTAATTTCCTAACTTCCTGTTCTGTTCTGAGCGTTGTTATTGGTAGATTATTTTTGTTAGCCAATTGCAACACGCAGAACAGAACAGGAAGTTAGGAACTTGTAACAGGAAGTTAAGAACTTCTAACAGGAACTGAGGAAATTTTTTTTGACTTTTAGCAACATTGCAAATTCCCTCAAGCCGAGCCTCAAAGAATTTGCAAGGGAGTTTTTTAAATTGCAAAAGTAATGAGGAAAATTGCAATCAATTTAGAAACTCAAAAGAGGAACGCTTCACGTAGTTTACCTGTAAATCCTAGCTTGCAACTGCAAGTCGAGTATCCCATCCGCTGCATACAGATTCCCCCGTTTTGACATTTGTTCGTATCCGCACATTTCCAGTTCTTGACGTGACAAAAGGTGCCTGTGTAGTCTGCTGAACAATCACAAGTGAATGAACTGTTAACGTCAGGATGGCAGGTTGCATTGTTTTTGCACGGGTTTAGCTTACACCAATCAATTCTTTTCTCACAATTTCGACCTACACAGATTATAATAATTATTATTCATTCCATACATGGAACAAGTAGATGGGGTGCAGCTGATAATGGTAGTTATTACAGTGTGAAATGATTTTGTGCGTAAGGTTCGCAACATTGTCATTGTATTTGGAGGAGTCTTGTAATTAAAAAATGTGGTTTAACTTGCTTGCTCCAAAATGTCAACATTACTGATGTTGACCGCCAATGGTCCGCCATGTACTGCACTGTAACAATTAGTCAATTACTGAAGCGAATTTTCTGCTTGGGATAAAATGATGGAAGCTAATCTATATATAAGCCTTGTTTTCCATTTAATTGTGGCTGTTGTGACCAGGTAATGGTCGCCGATGCGAAATAGCCTGGATACTGCCAGGTTCACGTCTCATAAGGAAGACCTTGGTAGTTTCAAATGATCAGCTAAAATCTAGCAGATTCTTAATTAGCGTTGTTATGTAAATTTTGAAGGGTACGTGAGGATGACTTTTACAATGTGTACAACTGTACAAGTGCTGTTTGATCCAAAGACTCTGACACGAGGTTGTGCAAAACAGCCGTTTCTGATTGTAGATATAGATCGATATTCTATTACGGTATTGTAACCTTTCCTATTCTATTCAATTATCTTCATAAACTGAATAAATTATGATAAATTACCTTTATATCCAAACCTACAGTAACATCTGTAGTTTCCAATCTCGTTAACACAGGTAGCCCCATTCTGGCAGGGATTAGACTTGCATAAACCATCTAAATATTCACAGTAAATTCCAGTAAAACCAATCGGACACTTGCATGTGGCCTTCAGTCTACCATCGATACATGTGCCATTGTTATAACAATATCTAAAAATAACATTAATAGATATTATGGGTGGGGTGCAGTAACAATTTTACCTGTTTTTGCATCAAAGTATGTACATTCGCAGATAAATACATTGTTTTTGGAACCCCGTTATTGGAGAACTAATCTCTGTGTGGTAATTCCAGCCATGTAAGCTATTGTGTAACTAATTTTGTGTAATAGTTTGTGTTAAATGGCAAAATCTGTAAAATAAAATAAAAATAGAGTATTTGAAGACTTCAATGAGTTTAGCCAGTCAGATTATTACCGTTTGCAAACAACCGTCTGTAAACGTTTTTCCACATTTGTTCACATTTCAAACATACACCTTTGGCGATACATGTTTGTACGTCCTGCCCATATTGCTTCATAAATGTTAAAATTTTACTTACTTATCTTCACAATAATCAATATCCACGTCACAGTTTTTTCCTGTCCACCCCGTCTGGCATGTGCAATGATAATCATTCACACCATCCTTACAGGTACCATGTTGGCAAGGCGATGACCAGCATTCGTTCAATTCTGTTTGACAGTACTTTCCAACGAAGCCCGAGGAACATTTACAATAATATGAGCTGCCATTATTCACACAAGTAGCCCCATTCTCACAAAAGTGCAACTTGCAGGTGTCATTTGGAATTGTACAGTTTTCACCTAAGAAATTTTTAAAAAAAATAATATCACCTTAGCAACAGTGGAAAAATAATATCACCTTAGCACCATGTAGGTTGTAGTGATATATGCTGATTTACACACAGTAAATTATGTTAATTCTTCCACAAGGCCTTTCTAAACTCTTTTAATATTTTTTATATTAAAATTTGTCGCCTGAGTTAGGATTTATTTTCAGCAGTAGCTTTTGGCCTCACTCAACAAATATCATTCATATAATATGCTACTGAAGGACAACTTTGTACGTTTAAACTAACTGTATTTATAATGGCAGCTTATAGAATATCATTTCTAAACTGTTTTCCATAGAGGTCCAGTGAGAGCTACACTTTATTGCTTCATTGTTACTAGGAAAAACGTGTTGGTATCCAGAGTGAAATAACAAGCAGCCTCCAACATTTTCAGGGAAGGTCCTTTATCAGAAGAATGTTTGGGAACGAAAGGCTTTTGCTCGAAGCACCACAGTGTTTTAATCTGTTCCAGGTTATTTAGATACCTATACCAAGGCAATGTATTGGAAACAGTGCCTAACCAACTAGATAAATGTTACTGAAGGTGATAGGTGGTGATAGGTGGGTTTCAGTAGCATTGGTCTCAATAGTATTCATTGGCTCAACACAACTGCTATACATAATGAAAGCATTATCAAAGATGAGTACCATCAGTGAGCCACGTCAAGACAACTTACCCAACCACTTCTCTGTACACAGACAAGTATACCTGGCAATACCATCAACACATAAGCCTCCATTTCTACATGGCTGCGGCTGACATTCATTAATATTCTCCTTACAATATTCTCCCCTGAATCCTGGGTGACAGTCACATGTAAAGTTGTTCAACATGTCCTTACATTTGCCATCATTTAAACATGTCACACTAGCACAATCATCCACATTAGTTTCACAATTTTTACCTACAAAATGAAACACAATTTGATAAATTAGAAATGAGCAAAATAAGCTTTACTTATATGTGATAATTGTCATGGCCCAGCTTAAACTACTTTTCATTTCCAGGAACTTGATAAGCGTGTGTTTATAGTAGTAAAGATAAATCATCTATACGTTCTGTCACCACGAGTACCCAGAAAAAATCTACTGTGTTTTGTACTTTGACAAGTTTTATTTGCTCGTTTCGCTCGAAAATTGACCATTTTTCCTTGCCAATATGTTCCTTGTTCCTTATATGTTCCTTCATTTTTCCTTGTTCCAAAGCATGAGTACACAAGGAAAATGTGTCCCTGTGTACGGCTGCGCTAAAGAAAACTTGATAAGTGTACAAGAAATACGTCTATGCCTGTGGTTTTGGCAAAAAAGGCGGCCTTGACGAGAGATAAATGTTTAACAACACTGCATGCACATGCAAACTTGTTGACCGTACACACGAGAAAGTAAACTTGTCAAAGAAAACTTGTTCGTCTGTACATACAGGGCTTAACCACTAGCTGGCACTCCAATAAATTTGGAAACAAATCTGCAACTTCAGACTCACCTGTGAAACCCAAAAGACATTCACAAATATAACTTCCAATTTTATTGGTACAATTTCCATTATTTTGACATGGCAATAAGAGACATTCGTTTACATCATACTGGCATAAAGATCCAATGAATCCCGGCCCACAAACACACTTAAATTCATTGATGCCATCCCTGCACAATGCATTGTTTTGACAATTTGCCGAGAGACAGTCATCCACATTGACGCTACAGTTAGAGCCTGTGAAGCCGGCGGCACAATTACATTTGAAAGTATTACCAATAGTCGTGCATGTTGCATTGTTCTGGCAAGGACGACTTAAACAATGGTCTGAAGGATTCTCACAATTTACTCCTGTGAATCCTGAAAAAATTAGTATACATTATATGGGATTAAGGCTCTAAGTATGTTTGAATACGAGCCTATACTAGTTAAATAATTTTTACTCACAATGTGCTCAATTTAATGAACCCCACTTTGCTTTTTACTTTGTCTAATGCATGATTATTTAATAGTTAGCTACAATCCTAGACAAAACCACTCGGACAAGCACATGGAAAAGGCGTCTTAAATTTAAATGTCTAAATATAATTGCAAATACTCATCCCTAAAACAATGTTGATGAGATGGGAATGTCATCTGTGATACATACATAATAAAGTAAACAACATTGTGCTGGGGGAACAGGGGTTAAGAGTTATTTACATCTTCTAATAAAAAATACCTCGCAGCTAAGGTGACAAACTCAATTTAGACCAAGTTGTCCGCGTGAGTTTTGTCTATGATTGTAGGTTATCTACCCATGCTTCTTGTTAAATCAATAAGCCGCAATATGTCCTAATGCACCCTTTAGTTATTTTACTCCGCCTAATGCCAGATGATTTTACTTGTTTACTAGTACTAATACCCTCTTTCGTTCTACTGTCGAAGTGTTCTCAATTTTACCATGTACGTAGTTCAAACGGTAACAGGTAATTAATAAAATAACAACAACAACTTTATTTCGTACCCTCTACGGTCTATTTATATATTTTTAGAAAAATACTTTATTATCTATTTTGAAGGGTACTAGCTTCCTAAAATAACCAAAAAGCTAAACGAGTCAATAAATACACCTACCTATTGGGCATTTGCATCTATATCCTTTAATTACGTCAACGCATTGTCCACCATTTTGGCATGGCACGCTATTGCATTCATTGACCTTTGTCTGACAATGATTTCCAGTGTATCCATCTTTGCAAATACATTGGTAACTGTTATGATGAGTGCGGCATGTCCCACCATGCTGGCACGGAGCGCTTGTACAGTAGTCAATGTATGAGCTACAGAGTTCACCTGGAAAAAAATATTTCTGGAAGTTATTATGTATTATCATCATGTCAAGATTACAGGAAAGGTGTGCATCTGATGTGATCAAAACTAATTCAGTCCTTGGACTGGATCAAATTTAATTCACTTCAAGTATAGTGATTAATTCGTATGAGATGTCATTTTCAATCCTCCAATTCAGACTGGACTAGATTTTAAGTCCTTGCATTTTGATCGACGAAAATTTGTAGGTTGTTTATAGTAAAGTTCATTATTTGGAATTTGGATACATAAACATAAACAAAGCTGACACGTGCAAACTGAATGTAACACATCAAAACACATCTTTAACTTTATATTATGATAGTGTATACCAAACGTATTTAGAGTTTTATTTAATAAAGTTTCAGTGTGAGCTTAATATGACTATACATACAAATTTTGTTAAAAACTCAAATTTGCCAGCCGGTCACTTACCTCCTCTTATCTTACTGATCTTAATAGGACAGGCACGTTGCCAAATATTTGCTGACTCCATATATGTATAACTAATTGCGAGGGCTGTTATAGTGATTCGAAATAAAGTATATTGAAAAACAGGATGCTATAGTCATGTTTGTTAATTAACATACTTTAAAAACAAACATGTTTTAAAATCACTTTCATAAACAACACCAAGTGTATGATATAACTTTCTAATAATTTAATGAACCAGTAGTTAAAAAAGAGATCTCCTCGAAGCCAGAGGAGACGATTTGTTCAAACTACTAACATTGAGATTGCTAAATGTTAATGCGATGGGAGCATTAGTGTAGAGGACTTTGTTGGACAATAATAGGCAACCTCGTTCCCAGGCTCTTTGCTCTTGGGAAGCAAAGACCCTGGTCGGGGCTGGTCACGTGACCCATAGAAAATTGATAACCTAAGAGGGGGATGGAAAAGTATCAAATTACATGTTTCCACTTCCGCACCTCACACTTCGATTGCAAGGAGTGACCGTGCTATACAATCATCTTTGAGAATCATATATACTTCAAAATACTTGCTAAATTGGTTTCTGTTTGCTTTTAAATTATACAAACATGCTAAACTGTAGATTCTTATAGCAACAAACAAGTCAGAAAATCAAGCAACGAAAACGTATGATCGTATATGCTTGGAAATATTTGCCCTTTTATTGTCTCAGTGTCTCGGGGTTCGGGCGCAGTTTCATTTCACTCGTACGTTTCTGTATCTGGCTCTGATACGTATAATATTCTTATAATGTGCCATTGAATTGTTGTCATATGGAAACAGTATAAATTTTGTTAAATAGAGGTCTCAAAAGCGACTGTGTAGGTCGTAGGCGCTGCGCCTTGCTGGTCCTACAGCAAACGTTACATATTTGGACACTAGCCAAATAGACATTGAATGTCCGTTCTATTGATTCTAAAACGGTTTATAGACATAGTGCTCTAGATTTTTTTAAAAAGGTTATCATCGTTTATATTCAACACCAGGTAGGAAGGAGTGTTAACGTACATGTACAAAATTGTTTGGGATCGACAGTAAAGAATTATACGACAAATCACAACTGTATGCAACAGGTGCACGAGTACCTGTTTGTTGAAGCCAAAATCAGATTGCACAGAATCTCCGATATGAATTATATAGCCAAACACCCTCGCCCCTTGAATGCAAAGGAATGATAGCCGAAAAGGTTTAGCAAAGTATTTTTTATTATATCTGGTATAAAGTGTCCCTACGTTTTATCAGGGATATAGATATACATAATTCATAAACTGTATATATGCGCACGAAGTCCAGCTCATAGAATTACTTATAATTAACTTTTGATAAGCCTTTTAAAGTTTCCATTGATAGATAGGTTGTTTACCTCTAGTATGGTTTGGTGAAACTGCTAAAATGTCATTTATACAGTATACGATAAAGATTATTTAAAGTTGATTTAAATATTGATGACTCACAGGCCACAGCAGCATATGCGCATTATACAAGTCGAAAGAAGCTGTCGGGTTATTCTTCAAATATAAAGCCCTGAATGTGCAATGGAATGAAAGGTCTTTATAAGGTTTATAAATTAATGTACCTGCTGTAAATTACTGTAATACACAAAATATGAAATAATTTACTATGAAGTACAATACCAGTGTCCGGTGCATATATCGTCCTAAATATTCAAGTTATATGTACCGCACGCACGGAAACGCACAGTGGAGTCTTGGTGTTCGTCTGATGACAGATAGCTATACTTCGAGTCTTCGACATACTGATCATTCTTGATCGTTGAGTTTCAGCAATGTAAATGAAAGGGATTTTACAGTCCATAACGGGTTTTAATCCTGTGCTTTCACAGTCAAGATAGCACTATTGTTTACACACAGTTAGCGATGTTTGGGAAATCTTCCATTATAAAATAAATCCTTTGGCTTTGTTGAATATCGTACAGGATACACTTCAACCATAAACAACCATATCGTTCATTTAGTATCGTTTGATCGATCAGTCGGTATAGAATTGGGAAGACATATATGTTTCTACGGCGATGCGTGCTCAACTTCGCAAGCCAGGCGCGTGTGGAGTCCTTGGAAGTGAAATATGATCCAGCTTCTTGCTTGAAATGTACCGCAACACTTATTATTGATGACATTCAGTATAGCAGGAAGTTGTGTCATGATGAATACGAATTTAAAACTATTCCTTTCACGATATCTTGTTGCGAATTACATTTTTATCACCCGAAACTATAACACATAAAATTGCAATTTTCCAAACGCAACAAACAGACTCCTCTACCACCCCTCCCTGAGATCAATTCAATTTACCACGCAGAATCTGCGGGGTCACGTGACCAGCCCCGACCAGGGTCTTTGCTTCCCAAGAGCAAAGAGCCTGGGAACGAGGTTGTGAACCGGACTGAACTGAAGAGCAGATACACTTAGATAATGTCATGGTCGCTTTCTGTTTTACAAAACTAGTCGTGGAAAACAATACAAACGAATGACCAAATACCGCACGTACAATGATAGTTAATATTTAATAACATTTCTGTTAACACACGTAAGCAACATATTAAGCAGAGACAGCCAGTACTCACGCACAGTTCTCAGTAATATAATTTGAAATTTCGCACTTGCTTTTTATGATATATTTCGGATAACCTTCTACTCTGATTTCAGTCATAGCTGCACTTCAGTTAAAATGTTTTCTTGTGTATAGAAAGTGCATTGTATACGTATTTGCAACAGTTCTCATCATCACTGAGTTTAGAAAATAAAAAAAATTGCAATTTTATTTACTCAAGAAGTGAGAACTGTGGAAAGTCACAAGTGAGCCACTTTATTATACAATATTCAGCTTAGCTTCGAAAGTAAATTGTATACAAAAAGAAATGTCACCGAAATTTGGTGTGACAAATGAATAATACTATATTTATCATTGGAAATGATGCTGAGAAGTGTTGCTCCTGTCGACGAGAACTGTACATGTTTACATTTCATTTTGAATTTCCGGTCTCAATTGAGTTAATAGATTACATAATATTAAGCAATAAAATGAAGCATAAGCTGTCAATATTTTATTCGGAATACCTTGGATTTAATTACAGCATGAATGCTCCCAGACATACTATTTATTGTGCGATCTATAACGTCGACGGAAGTAGTGATCTTACATGTCGACGGAGGTATTATCTAACGCTTAAAATTTTTTCTTTCCAAATTAGCTCAATGATTTAGCCGTGATATTCTCGCAAATAGCTTGGCGCTCTAAGTCATTCTTCACAATATGGAACATATTCTCTATTCATGGGGTTTAGATCTGGTGAACGTGGAGGTATCACATGCATTTCTGCTTCCAAATCTTCAAAATCTGACACGTCAACCCAGGCACTATGTGTTGTTCTATGGCTTGCGCGGCCTTTGCGTGCGCCTCGTGGATTAATTTGATCGATTCTGGGTACAAGGCAGACCAGGGAGCTCTTTAGAACCTTTACTGGCAATTTCCAATCCTTTGCTTCTCTTTCGCCAAAACCTGTGCAGGTTTTCACTTCACTTTTGACTTGCAACCGGACTTGCATATTCTACCGCAGCCAATTTTGAAATATAACATTTTCTCTGTATGATGTTCCAGATTCCAGCTTTAAAATAGATTGCGAGTGCCTTTTGTTCAGCTGATATTTCACGGTTGTAAACCATTAGAAATTTACAATAAATTTTGTTCTTTATGATTAAAAGCTTTGTAAGCTTTGTTCAAAGACAAGCATCTAAAATTTTCCCTCTCGTTTACAACAAATCACTTAATTACCATACCAATCATTCATTACGATGTTAGTGCGCCTGCAATGGGGCGCGTGAGCGGATTTTAGACACAAATAACGACCAACAATTTGTGACATCAATAAGTCTCGCGAAAAGCCCAATTACGGATATATGTGATATATCTTAAAAAAATATTTTCAATTTACAAGTTTTCCTATAACAATCCTGGACAAAAGTGTTGGGACACTCAACCTTTTCCACCCTTGAATTCTAAAGACAACGCCCCTGTTCCCTCCTCTCCCCTCCCCCACCCCAATTCAATGTTGAAAGTTCTTACAATTTTAGTTAAGGATGCCCCCAAAATCAACATTGAACGGGGGAGGGGAGGGGGGTTCGGTTCAAAAGCATATTTTGCGTTAAATCTGCTTTCCCTGAAGAGAACAATAAAAACATGCGAAAATTTTGGGTTGTCCCAAGGACTTTTGGCCAGGATTGTCGGAATTTAGATGATAAACTAAAAATGAAATGTGGACGAAAATCTTTCCCGTTTTGACACTAGATGATCTTTTAACGAATTATATTCATATACTCGGAAAACTACCTTTGAAAAACAGGTAACTGATAGGGCTACCGTTGTTAAATATTTTTAAATAATAATTTTTAATAATACCCTCGAAGATGTAGAAAACAGTGAACCGGACTGAACTGAAGAGCAGATACACTTAGATAATGTCATGGTCGTTTTCTGTTTTACAAAACTAGTCGTGGAAAACAATACAAACGAATGGCCATGCAAATACCGCACGTACAATGATAGTTAATATTTAATAACATTTCTGTTAACACACGTAAACAACATATTAAGCAGAGACAGCCAGTACTCACACACACTTCTCAGTAATATAATTTGAAATTTCGCACTTGATTTTTATGATATATTTCGGATAACCCTCTACTTTGATTTCAGTCATAGCTGCACTTCTGTTAAAATGTTTTCTTGTGTGTAGAAAGTGCATTGTATACGTATTTGCAACAGTTCTCATCATCACTGAGTTTAGAAAATACAAAAAATTGCAGTTTTGTTTACTCAAGAAGTGAGAACTGTGGAAAGTCGCAAGTGAGCCACTTTATTTTACAATATTCAGCTTAGCTTCGAAAGTAAATTGTATACAAAAATAAATATCACCGAAATTTGGTGTGACAAATGAATAATACTATATTTATCATTGGAAATGATGCTGAGAAGTGTTGCTCCTGTCGACGAGAACTGTACATGTTT